CCGCACACCCATTTCGGCACACCCCTCACACGTTTCGTGGCCCCATAGGGAGCTCCACCGAAGGCCCCAGTGCTGCCGTCCGCATGCGTCCCGCACACCCATTTCGGCACACCCCTCACACGTTTCGTGGCCCCATAGGGAGCTCCACCGAAGGCCCCATGGCTGCCGTCCGCATGCGTCCCGCACACCCATTTCGGCACACCCCTCACACGTTTCGTGGCCCCACAGGGAGCTCCACCGAAGGCCCCAGTGCTGCCGTCCGCATGCGTCCCGCACACCCATTTCGGCACACCCCTCACACGTTTCGTGGCCCCATAGGGAGCTCCACCGAAGGCCCCATGGCTGCCGTCCGCGTTGCGTCCCGCACACATTTGCGGCACACCCATTTCGGTTTCGTGGCCCCACCTCCACCGAAGGCCCCATCACACGCGGTTTCGTGGCCCCATAGGGAGCTCCACCGAAGGCCCCATGCCGTCCGCATGCGTCCCGCACACCCATTTCGGCACACCCCTCACACGTTTCGTGGCCCCATAGGGAGCTCCACCGAAGGCCCCATGGCTGCCGTCCGCATGCGTCCCGCACACCCATTTCGGCACACCCCTCACACGTTTCGTGGCCCCACAGGGAGCTCCACCGAAGGCCCCAGTGCTGCCGTCCGCATGCGTCCCGCACACCCATTTCGGCACACCCCTCACACGTTTCGTGGCCCCATAGGGAGCTCCACCGAAGGCCCCATGGCTGCCGTCCGCATGCGTCCCGCACACCCATTTCGGCACACCCCTCACACGTTTCGTGGCCCCACAGGGAGCTCCACCGAAGGCCCCAGTGCTGCCGTCCGCATGCGTCCCGCACACCCATTTCGGCACACCCCTCACACGTTTCGTGGCCCCATAGGGAGCTCCACCGAAGGCCCCATGGCTGCCGTCCGCATGCGTCCCGCACACCCATTTCGGCACACCCCTCACACGTTTCGTGGCCCCACAGGGAGCTCCACCGAAGGCCCCAGTGCTGCCGTCCGCATGCGTCCCGCACACCAGGTGTGTGGCGTGCCGACATGGGCGTCGCGGCGCGCGGGCGCTGCCGTCGGGGTTCCCAGGGAAGCCCCCTGCAGAGGCGACGCTCAGAGTCACGAGTACCGAGAGTCACGCAGACCCAAACTGTTCACAGTCGTATACATACATTTACACTGGGCGTATCCATGCACGCATTCATGCGAATAGAATCAATCGCGCGCAGATTCATTCATAATCAGACTCGCTCGCGATCCGACTCGCACGCGCTCAAGCTTTCATATTCGGACCTATCGTCTTCGTTCGTGTTGTGTACACTGCCACGCATTTCGGCACACCCCTCATACGGCTCGTGGCCCCATAGGGAGCGCCACCGAAGAAGATATTCACAATTGCGGTACTCTCAACTGCATATGGTTGGGTCCTTCGCCAGGCTAATTTTATTGTTGTTTTTCCTAGGTTTTTGGCCTTCTCGCTTTTTCGGGGTTCCGACGCTCCATGACCGTCCACGATTTTCCCAATTCCGCTCCAAGACGGCCGAAGAGGCCCCCAAGACCGCCCCAAGACGGCCCAAGAGACCTCCAAAATCGCCCCAAGACGGCCCAGGAGAGCCCCAAGATGGCCCAGGAACCGCCCAAGACAGTTCCAGGAGAGCCCCGACAGGGCTTCAAGACTGCCTAAGCGAGCCCAGCGGTCCCCGAAAGGGCACCGCGAGGCCCCAAGCGGCCCCGCCTCCAGGAGAGCCCAACAGGCCTCCGAGAGGCCCCCAAGAGGCCCACTGGAGGCCCTCAGGAGGTCGTCCCCATCATGTTCCCGGAAGGCGGTCGGGGAACATGATTCCGCGCCTTGGAGGAGTATTCTGCGCTTTCCGAGGCGCCTTGGACGACGTACGTATGTTTCTATAGATTGTCCTTTTCCTGTGTACACAATCCTACATGTCTTACGTATGGTTCTATATATATATATATACACCTATATACACATATGGGGAGGGGGTCCTGGACCAGGGGGGGCCTCACTTTGCCCAGTGGCTGTGGTCACCCCCTCGCCGGAGACGCCAGGACGCTCCCAGAACCCTCTAAAATGGCTCCAGGACGCCCTCAGGACAGCCCAAGAGAGGTCCGAAGCGGCCCGGGAACACTCTAAGACTGTTAAAAAGCTGCCAAAGCGTCCCAGCAGATCTCCGACAGCACTCCCGGGAGGGGCCCAATAGGAAATTGTCACTGATTTTTAGTGAGTTTTGAAGGGTTTCGGCGTTCTCCCCAGTTCGGCATCCAGACGCTCCAAGGCGGCCCAAGAGGCCCGAAAGATCGCCTCAAGACGAGCCCAAAGGCCCCCAAGAAACCACCGAGGCAGCCCAAGAGGGCCCCAAGACGGCCCAGGAAGCTTCCAAGACGGCCTAAAAGAGTTCCCAGAACACTCCAAGAGGAGCCCCAGATGGGGAACACGAACTGAGATTTCGAGCCCTCGCCCACCAGAAGCTCCCAAGAGGCCCCCAGGAGTCCGCAAGATGCCTCGAGAGGCCCCCAGGAAGCTCCAAGAGGCCTCCAAAAGGCGCCGAAAGGGCCCCGCAAGGCTCCCAGACGCTGGTGATAATGACAATGATGATTATGCAGGGCGGCCTCAGGCCCACAACCTAAATCCCCAATACTGCTCACGCGGCATGCAAGACGCTGCGGAGATATCCTCGAGTTCGGCGGGGGAGCTTCGGAGACGACGGTGACGAAAATGATGACGATGATGACGACTATTATGAAGTTGACGACGACGACGACGACGACGACGACGACGACGATGATGATGATGATGATGATGATGATGATGATGATGATGATGATGATGAAGAAGATGATGAAGAAGATTATGATGATGATGTTGACACTGGGAATGATGATGGTGCTGATGATGATGATGTTGATGATGGTGATCGTGATGTGAGTGATGGTGGTGGTGATGATGGTGGTGATGATGACGATCATGATGACGATGACGGTGATGCCGTTGAGGATGGTGATGCTGACGATCATTATGATGATGCTGCTGATGGTCAGGATGATAACGCCGATGCTGATAATAATGGTGGCGATGCTGTTTATGGTGCTTGTGATGCAGGAGTGGGCGGATGATGAAGATGATGACGATGATGATGACGATAACGATGACGACGATCACGACGACGACGACGATAATGATGACGATGGCGATGATGAGGATGATTATGTTGATAATTCAGGTGACGATATTGACGATGATGACGACGATGGCGATGATGACGATGGTGATGACGATGTTGCTGCTGATGGTGGTGATGGTGACGATTGTGATGATGGTGATGGTCATGGTGATGATGACGATGCCGCTGACGATGACGCCAGATATGATATGAGGATGGCGATGATGACGATGACGATTATCCTAGCTAGAACTTGAGCGCGCGCGAAGCGCGCGCGATGGTTCTAGTATATATATATATGCCGAATATAGATATACATACATCTGTATATTTGAATATCTGTATATTCCCCAATCGGGGCGTGCCTCTGTATGGGGTCCTTTCGGATGCATATGGTTAATCCAAAAAACATCCTAATTGGGACGATCTCCCCAATGCAACGGGTCCGTTCCGGACCCCTTGGGTGTTCCAAGGGGTCCGCTCCGGACCCCTTGGAACAACCATGTCAGGAGTGTTTTTTTGACAACGATGAAGTTTAAGGTGATTACGGTGAGGATTTGAGGTCATGATGGTGACGATGATGGCGTTTTTTTTTCTGCAGCGGAAGCGCTTATTCTGTCGTGCCACGCCGCATCTGCGGCGTTCGCGTGCGTCCCCCTCCTCCTCCTCGCCCTCCTCCTCCTCCCCCCCTCTTCCTCGACCTCCTGGTCCTCGGTCCTCCTCCTCCTCCTCGTCCTGTTCCTCCTCGTCATCAGATTCCTCCTTGTCCTTCTCCTCGTCTTACTCCACCTCCTCATCCTCCTCATCCTCCTCCTCGTCCTCCTCCTCGCCCCCATCCTCCTCCTCCTCGTCCCCTTCCCCCTCCTCCTCAACGTGCGTCCTCCTCCTCCCCCTCGTCCTGGTCCTCCCTCCTCCTCTTCTCCTCCTCCTCTTCCTCCTTCTCCTCCTCTAACTCCGCCCCCCCCTGCCCCTCCCATGCGTCCGCAACTGCGGCGCCCGACGAGCCCCTACTCACTCTCTCCAGCCCGAACCGCGCCACTCACTCCAGCCCGAACCGCGCCAGGAGTCGCCATCCTTCCAGGCGTTGGCGTTGTGCCACCAGTGCTGCCGCTCCTCCGCCCGCCCCCACCCCTGCTCGTCGGCGCGCGGAGCCCACTGTTCCCACGCACCGCTCTGGCTCAGGGGGATCTGCTGGCCCCAGTGGCCCCGCAGACCCAGTGCGGGGCCCCCCCCAAAAGGGAGGCCCCCACACTGCGCACTCAGCAGGAGCAGCCGCAACTGCGGCCTCTTCTGCAGGTTGAGCCGCAGGCGGCGGCTCAGGCAGCCAACAGCGTATCCGCTTTGGCTCTGGCGCGTCAGGCGGCCAAGTGCGGATCCGCTCTGGTCCAGGTGCAGGTGCGCGCACTGGTGGTTCGGCCTTGTCCTTGGCCTTGGCCTTGGGCGCTCTTTTTTTCGTTACGCCGCTGGAAGGCGTCGGGGGATCGCCTGGAGCGATTGTGCGTGAAGACCATCATCGGAAAGTGGCTGCCTTTGTAGTTCGAGCGACCTCCGTCAAATGGAACCCTCCAACGGTTCACGTCCAGGCGTTTCTCCTTGACTCTGCAGCCCCTCTCGTTTGGCTTTTTCCTTCGGGCTTTCGCGAGGTCTGCGGCCGCAACTGCGGCCGCTGATTTAGGGTCAGGCTGCAAAGAAGGCCCCATCTTTTCGTCCAGGTTGACGTGTTTCGGCAGGAATCACATGAGAGGCTGCCGTGGGCCGCCATTGCGGTCGTGCCGATCGAACGGGTCAGGTTCGGGCCGTTGGTCGGGACGCCCCACCTGGAAGCCTGTCGGGGCACGGGCAAGAATGCCCGTCTGGTCATGGTTGCGCAGGTCATTGATGCCATGGACCAGTCTGTGGATGCCTGGCTTCTCGACGAAGAACACCCCGCAAGAATCGGCGCAAGGTTCGCCGACTGCCGACCTCCACGGGTACCAGGCCGCCAGGTCGATCGTAACTCCGCAACTGCGGAGCTCTGGAACGACCCGGAAGAAGCTCATGTCGAAGTCGCTCATGAGCACCGACACTTTGTGACGGTGGATGAGGTCCACGCACGACTGCCCAAAGTCGTGCATCTTCAGCTTCCACTTCCCGTTCGCGATCACGTTGTGCAGGTGCACGACCATGACGCCGACTTCTTTGCCCATGCCTTCCACCACCCTGTCCAACTCCACGCGGCAGATCATGATACGGGTGTTCGCCTTGGCCATGCCGCCGTTTCTGCGTTGGTACTCGCCCTCCTCCCGCCGCTCCCAGTGGACGCACTCCAGCTTCCGCGCCATGCTCGCCCTCGCGGCCACGCAGAGAGTGCACTCCTCCTGGCCTCGTACTGTGAGGTATTCGAAGCCTTGGCGCTCCACGAGCCCGTCGCCCCCCGCAACTGCGGGGATTCCTGCAGGAGCTCCTCGGTTGCCAGCTGGCACTCTGCAATGCCGATAATTTGCGCGGGCGAGTTCTTCAGCTGCATCTCTATGCGTTGTCGCCTCGCGGCGTTTGCTGGCATCCTTCCCCAGTTCCCGAAGAGGAAGCCAAGGTTTCCCATGTCCTGCTTCTCTATGCGGTCGCGCCAGAATGCCAAATGCGAGGGGCGCAACCGCGACCTGTACACCGGCGAGGTTGCGCGGGCGACGCGCGTCCGCGCAGGTTCGTGGGGCCCTTCCTCGGAAGCGGCCGCAACTGCGGCTGCTTTTTCACTGCCAAACGCGATGTCCCCTAATTCGGCGTCGCCACTGACCACGGACGACGCGTCCTCTTCCTCAGCCTCCTCCGCCGAAGCACCAGGATGCGAGCTGGGCTTGTCCGCAACTGCGGACGCCTCAGCTTCCACCTCCTTCGTTTCTCTTTCCGCAGCCCCCTCAGCAATCCGCACACGCGGCTTCGCCTCCAGAGCCACGCCAGCAGCAGGCCATGGATATGGCCTGCTGCTCGCAGACACGGCGCCCGCACGGCCGCCCCGCGGGCCCGAAGTCGCGGCGCCGCTGTCTTGAGCACGCGGGGAGGGAAGGGGGGGGCGGATGGGGGGGGGCGGGAGGGCGAGAGCTAATTACTACTGCGTTGCCGCTGCTTCTCTCCGTCCTGCCGTTCCTCCCCACGTAAAGTACATGATTCTGCTACATGTGCTGCTTCTCCTGCTTCTGCTACATGTCCCTGCTGGTGATGCTGCTGCTGCTCCTCCTCCTCCTCCTTCACCTCCTCCTCCTCCTGCCCCTCCTCCCCCTCGCCCCTCCCCCTCCCCCTCCTCCTCCTCCCCCTCCTCCTCCTCCTCCTCCTCCTCCTCTTCCCGCTATTTCCCGCTATTTGACGCGCCATGAAGGTCTGTGCCCTGCAGCGCAGCACGGCGGCCGCTGGCCGCCGACAGAGGAGGGGGGAGGAAGGCCCGTTCCAAACGAGGGCCTCGAGAGGAGAGGGGCGGGGCCCAAGAGCCAAGGCGGCAGTCCGAAGGCCTCAGGGAGAAGAGGGGGGGGGGCCTCAGGGGGCATCGAAAGGAGAGAGGGCCTCGGACCACCTCAGAGACGCCTGATCCCTAGAGCCCCAGGGACACCCTCGTCGGCGCCCACTCAGGCCTCGACGGGCTCGCGGTGTCCTGGGGGCCCCTGTCCTCGGTCTTGACGGGCCCACTCCCTCGCCTCGTCGAGCCACGATGCCCGCTTGACCTTGCGGGGACGTGAGAAGTCCTGGCCCATCTCCCTGGGCATGTAGCAGTCGAGGGGCTGGAAGAAGTGGGCCACATCGTCGTCGATCTCCCAGACGCTGCCGTCGCTCGGCGTGTCGCCGAAGCGCCAGCGGATCTGCTTCATCAGCGCCGTCGCTATGGCCTGGCACATCCTCGATGGGTACTCCTTCGCCGCCGTGGTACGCCACTGGCCGTCGTCGCTGATGCCCGCCAGCTCCGTGTGGTAGGATGGCGTGTGGAAGCACCGACCGCCTCCAGGCAGCCTCCTGATCTCCGAGCGGAGGGTGGGGAGCGAGACGGCCAGCAGGCTTGTGGTCTTCCTCGACACCGCCCCGCAGGTGCACTGGTCGAAGGTGATCAGCTCGACGCCCTGCTGGCCCAGGAGGTGGCGCGTCTCGGGGAGCCGCCAGGAGCTGGCGATGTGCTCCTCGGGGGGCTCGCACGGGTGCTCGAGCAAGCCTGGGACGCCGAGGTTGAGGCACATGTACATGAGCTCCAGCTGCGTCCTGTAGAGGCGGTTGCCTGTCGCTACTTGTTCCATCTCTGGTCGGGAGAGGTAGCGGAGGCCCCACAAGCTGCTGCTGCTCCTCAAAGGTCTCGGTGGGCGGCCCCTGCAGGCATTGGGAGGCAGGTGACGCGCTCGGCTTCATGTCTCGCACGGTGGTCCGCCGAGGACGCCTGCGAGCCTGCCTGCCTGCGCAAGGCTGCGCCACTTGTTCACTGCCACTTCCGATGTCAGGTCGCCGAAGGTCGGGTCGTTGGCAACGTCCAGCCTGAGCATGTGAAGGCCGCATGAGGCACGACTGCAGACTCGGCCGAACCAGTCCTGAACGTCTCCCTCTCGGCGCCGACCGCTGAACAGGTGTAGCACGTATAGTGTCCGTGCTGGCGGCGGCGGCGGCTCCTCGATGAAGGGGAGCTCGGGATCCTGGCCGTGGCCGCGGTTGCTGTCGTCGCTCTCGTCGTCGGCGTGTATCTCTGGAGGGCGAGCAGGGACTGCAGGCCTCTCGGCCCAGTCGATAGGCCTGCCGGCCCTTCGATTCGCCTGCTGTTGGTCTCGCACGACTTGCTGGTTGTGTTGCAGCTCGGCCTTGCTGAGAAGCGCTGGCCGTGTTCGTCGCCAGTGCCGAGCGCACCGGCGCACCCGCAGCAGGTGTTTGACCAGCCTGTTCGTGGTGTGGAAGTCCATGCCGCATCCGTAGCAGGTAGAGCCGGTTGCCCACGAGATGGGATGTTCCGAAGCAGTGTGGTCCTTGGTGATGTGGGCTCGCAACACTGCTGCGCTGGGCTCTGTGCGTCCGCAGTGGTAGCAGATGTACTTGCGCTGCGGCTCGAGGTATTGGTCTGGGAAGGGCGAGATGGCTTCCGTGTTGGTCCAGCGCTGGAGTCGTAGCCGCCATCGGGCGTGGTGGTCGTGGTCGTACTGGCGGGCTTTCCTCCTCGTCCTCATCATCCCCCTCCCCATCCTCCAAGGACACATCCCTCTTTCCTCCTGCTCGCGCGGGCGCATCCAGGGAGCTCTTTTCTCAAGAAAGGCGGCGACACGCCGCCGCAAGTCAGCCCAGCGGGGCTCGCGAGAATTCGCAAGGAGGTCGGATCCGCAACTGCGGACCGCAAACAAACATCCGCAACTGCGAACGTCGCCTACGGACAACCAACGCCACCTCTCCATCGAGTACCTTTCGGGTTTCGGCGTGGACGAATTCCAAGAACGCAGCCGCATTTCCACCCCGGCGTTTCTCAACGATGCCCTGACACCAGCTGGCTAACACACCTGGCCATTTGTCCCCGTGGTCCTTGAGCATCCTCTCGCCCCATGCCCCCTTCCACCAACCGAACTCGATACGCTTGGCTGGAGCCAAACCTCGACCCAGCCGAGATAAACGATCCAACGCTTGATGCCGAATTTTCGCGCCCTGCGCGACGCCGCCCGCTTCGCGACCATCCCCAGCTCTCGTAAAGAGAACGCACGAATCGCATGTTTTGCTTCCAGCGCCTGCTCGATGTCCGCCTTTCTCTTTATCCAGGACCGCCCTCGTCTCCTTGAGTTTCTTCGCATTCGCCTGTATGGCCGGCCCTGTTTCCTGCAATTCTGCAATCTTTCGCTTCCTCTTCCTCTCCTCCTCAGCGCCCCAGCCCCTCTGCCGCGCCAGCGCGGTCAGCGCGCCAGGGTCTTCCGCGCTCAGCGCCCGCATCCTCCGCGCCTCGCTCCGAGATTCCTCATGGCAGGCTGCCACGAGCCCCGTCGGGCCGCACGCCTGCAGCTCGGCCGCAACTGCGCCCAGCGCTGCCAACCTCTTCCTCGCCTGCAGGGCGTGCTCAGAGGCTTCGGCCGACACCGCAGCTTCAGGTGGCGCTCCAGCTCCTCCTCCCCCCCCCTCCTCCTCGGCCGATGTCCTGGCCCTCCCCCCCCCCGCCCCGCTCATCCTCACCCGTGGGCCCGCCCGCAACTGCGTCGCCCTAGTCCTGGGGGTCGAAACCGCCCGCTTCGCTCCAGTCGGAAGCATCGGAGCCCCCCCCCCTTCCGCCCCCCATCTGCGGCGCGCGCCGCCGCGTCTGCCTCCCACGGCGCTTCTCCGTCATCCACCGCAACGTCTTCCCCGATCTTCTCCAATGCTATGTCAATATTCGTTTTTTCGGGCGCGGCCGAATCAGCATTTGTTTGTCGTTGCAACGCCATCGCAGCCTCCCCGCCGCTACCTCTTCGCGAACTTCCGCAACTGCGGCTTTCACTTTCCTCCTCATGTCACGCGGTTTCCAGAATGTCGCCGCCTCCCTGCAAGTGAACTGGTCTTGCGTCGAGTCGCCCAGTGCCACGCGGGGCCCTGTCTTGATGCATCCGTCGGCAGCATCGCGGTGCAGCATCATGTCTTGCAGGACAGACGCCATGATGTCCACGCACGTATCTTGTCTCAGGGACGGGCGGATCAGTCTCACGGCCTCTTCGGCGGTGTACCGCGCCTTCACTGGCTGATTCAAATCAGTGTCGACGGTCTGCGCGACTGGCGTCGCGCCGCCTCCATGAGGAATAAAGATGTACCCTCGATGCCGCAGGGGCCGCGCAACGTGCCTGCTCAAATGCGGCCCGTGGTCGTCCGCCGTCATGATGCGCCACTGCCGCCCGTCATCTTCCAGCCGCAACTGCGGCAGATGACGCTCCAGGAAACCAAGGACATCATCAAGGCGGTACGAACCGTTTTCGCTTGTGGCCACGCTGACCCACTTGCCGTACCCGCCCGCGTCTGCGGATGTGTTCTTCGAATCGGCGCTGGATGATGTCGCCGTCCGCTCTGAACATGCACTCAAGATACGGCGGCCCCTCTCTGTCATGGTGCTCATGGTCGCTGAACGTGGACAGATTGGCAGTCCAGCGCGCGCGGCATTCAGCGTGCCCCTCCAGCAACGGCACTTCGACGCCCGCAATTGCGAGCGTGGACTTGTTGGAGCTGCCACTCTCGTTGTGGTGGAACGGACTCTGGTCCCAATTTTCTATGTGCGGATCCTTTCAAGGCCGCAACTGCAGCCCTCACGCGCGCAACGTTCAGCCGCGCCACTTCGAGCCTCTCTCCCAGCACTTTGCGCGGCACCTTATACTTCCTGTTGGGCTTCTTCATGGAGAGGCCATACTCCTGGCGCCAATCAGAAAACCACCGCGACCTAAGCTGGACAGCCTCCACGGAAAGTCCTCGTTCCAGCCGCGCTCGGCAATGTCTGGCGAGTAGTTCGTTTGCTTTCTTCTTTATCACGTGCTGCGTGAACCGCCCCAATTGTTTGCGCCGCAACTGCGGCGCTGTATCCTTTTTAAGGCTTGCCCAATCCACAGAACATCGTTTGCTCGTCCACCACTCGTACAGTTCCTGCCGCAACCACGCGACACGCTTCGGCATATATCTCGGGCCCCTGACCCGACGTGGACCGTCCACCTTTTGTGTGTTACCCGATCCTCCCACGTCTAACTTTTTTGGGGAGTGCATGCCGTCAACCACCTCATTCTTCAAGAACTCTCTCAGCCATTGCGAGACCATTTTTTTTCCTCGTCAGCACCCCATTTTTTTCCCTTGCGCCAAGTTGCCGGCCAAACGAGCCGCTTCTCGAAAGCCTCAAGCGCACCACATGGTACACGATCACCTTC